TTGCCTTGGGTGGTTACCCTGGTAAGGGTTGGGAGTGAGAAGCGAACCGCACTTCAGTGTTGGCGGACTTGCGGGGGTTCTCTCTCCCATGTCATCAGTTGCGACGGGCTACTGGGAGTTGAGAACTTGAGTCACTACCAGGGGAGGGGAGGGGAGGGGTGGGGAGGGGAGAGGGGGGGGGGGGGGGGAGGGGAGGGGAGGGGTGGTGACCCTGATTTCAGGGTGATTTCAGACCTTTCACCTTGTGGTGACTGAAACTCCAGAATTAATGAGTTTTCAACACTGATCCAATAAGGGTAATACTTCAGGGGACCCTGAATTTTTGTATACACTCTCAGAGTACCGTATGATTCCGGCTATAGGACCCGGGGGACTTTCTACAAATGCATAAAACATAGCTAGGGTGAACATAACATATAGGTGGCATAGAGTTTGTTAAGACATGGGTACACTTATTTGAATATTACATTTATTAGATTTACCATGCACTGTTTGTGTACACGGGAGGGGGGAGGGGAGGAGGGGGGAGAAGGGGGGCGGGTCTATTTACACTCTCAAATCCCTCGTTTGGAGCATCACAAATGCGATGTCTGCTGTGACACGTATCGAGTGACGAGCCACGACGCCGGTTTGGCGAACCGCATGTCCTCTTGACGGAACTGCCCCAACCTGGCCACGTCACTCTACACATGGGGGCCAGGTTAATTCCCTCCTCTCGTGGGTTTGATCAAAGCTGGACGTGTTGTGCTAGGGGAGTCACGTCCAGCAGCCTGCCGAGCAGATGGAATGTCTCTTCGTGGCTTCTGATTGTGTGCCTTAATTCCCACACAGATCTAGAGGCTATAAGACACCATCCACAGAGACGCTTCTAGCATGCTTAGAGTAGTGCCTAGAGTAGTACCACGTCATCTTTTGAAAGCCCATGGCGTACCCATCGCTCGAGCCTTGGCAGTCCGTCCAAGCAGCCGGCTATAGTGCTGATTACTAGCCCGTCACCGCCAGCACCACCTGCGCCTCCTGCGCCCCCTATACATCCTCGGCCTTTCATCGACCACTGCACGACCCCTCTGTTCGAACCGACTCACGAAGGATTTCTCGACCCCGAGGATGAAGAGGTCGTAGATGACGACACCGCGGAGAACGAGGACGAGATGGAGCAAGAAGTAAGGGACTTCCCTGTTTCATCGTTGGTAAGAACTTTGTATGCGACGCATAAGCTGTAGGGAGGGGAGACCACGATGGTGGTGCTAGAGGAGGGACGGGTGCGTGAGCAAGACGCAGCTACCTGTCCGGACGCAGCGAAGTGTGGAGACCCAACGTGCAGTGTGTACAAGCCAGACCCAGACCTTCGAGTAAATGTGGTGAGGTGGTCGCCAGTCACTGAGTCCGTACAGATCGCCACAAGATCGTCTCCATTAGTGGTGGTAGTGACCAAGTGATACTGGAGGATAGCGTTACTCACCAAGTTCGTAGCGGACGAGGGGAGGTGGAAACCTGAGAGCGAACTAGAGGGGACTGTCGGACACGGGAGAACAGTGGTACCTCGTGCAACGACTGGGCCAGAGGAGGGGTTGGCCAGAGTGACAAGGACAGGTGTGGTGAGTGTTGTGACTGGGGTGCAGTTGCGGAAGAAGCAGCCAGACGCGCCCAATTCCAGCGTGAAGGTGAGTAAAGCCTCCGCAGGGGCTGCACCTGTGCTAGCAGTGTCGCAGGCACCTACACTAGCAGGCACTACACCACTAGAGCTAGGAGCACCCAAGTAATAGTCGCCCTCAACACTAGCAGAAGCAGCATACATAGCATGCATGCTAGTAAGGATCTGGTCCCAATCAAGGGCAAACACATCGATGTTCTTCCTGCGCAATCCTAACCACTTAAGAACTTCTGCCTTCTCACCAAACTCCTCGCAGAAAGCGTCCTCAAGGAGGCGCAAGCAACGAGCCTCATTGGGGCCCGTCTTGCCGCAGACGTCTCCTATGCGGGGACCCGTGCGTCTGACGTAGGTGCAGCGACCGCCTCCGCCGGGGCCACCTCGCTGGACCGCCCACTCACGCAGCTGCTGGGGTGAGAGGGTCTCTTCACGACGCGACTGCTGCTGCTCTCCACCACCAGAATCTCCGCCTCCACCAGTTGTGCGCCCTTACATAGCTCCCTGGCCTCCACCCCCACTACCTCCACCACGACTACCACCCGAGCCGCCTCTGCCACCCCCAGTGCCGCCACCACCTCCGCCACTCCCACCACCCCACCAACCCCACCACCTACCTCAGCACCGAGAAATTCAATAGCAGCAGCAGAGGCGACAGAAGGCACAAGGAGGGAAAGAGCACACCCTCAAAAGAAAGAGGTACGGGGAGAACCATGGGAGGCAGCTAAAGCGAGGGCACTGGTCTCAGCCTCTAAGAGTCGTGACTCAAAAGAGGCTAGGTTGAGCTCGGTGGGGTCGAGAGAAAGAAAGTGGTCTGGGACGGGGCGAAGGGATTCAAGGAGACGGGTGACTAGGAAGTAGAGAGTGATGTACATCGGGGGAGTGTTCATAGCGTGAAACTTTGGCTTGAGGGCAGCACGGTATCGAAGGTCTTTGGTGCGCAGGTGAGTCATGAGGTCAGCGAGAGTGGCAAAGTCTGACAGCTCAGGAAGGAGGTACGGCAGTAGGTGGCATAAAGTGGCAGAGGAGGGAGAGGAATAGCGCTTTACTACAACGTCATACAGGTCCTTGGCAGTTTTCAGCTGGCGAAAGTGGGTGCGCTGGTCGGGCGGAAGCTGGCTGCGAACTGCAAGCGCGACAATGGCGTCACGTGCTAACCACTGAGTACTATCTATGCGGTCAGCCTTATATTTTTGCTATGCTTCTGGCGGTGCAGTAAGGGCAGGCTCAGTCGCAGTGGGAGGGGCTAGGAGGGAGCCTGAGGTATGCTCAAAGAGAGAGATGTCGTCGCGAGTAACGCTGGGAGGTACAGGTGAAGCCCCTCAAGCCACGACTCATAATCGAAAGGGCTACCCTCGGCGTCAAACTCCAGTATTGTGGGAGTCGCCATAGTAGGTAGCACGAGCAAAAGCGGCGCGTGAGCAGCAGTAACAGAAGGAAGCAGAAGCGGCAGTAGCGGCAAATGCGGTCGCAGCAGTGGCAGTCGTTGTTATAGCTGTTAACGGGAGTGGAGTGCTGGCCCCGCCCTCGCTTGGGCAACTCCGAGGACTTGGTCGGATGTACGGGAGTATCAGCCGACCATTCACTGTGGGAGAGCTGCTCGACAGGCTTCGTCGAGCTAAAGGGGACCGCTGTGGTGTTGCTTTCGACCACGGAGCTCGACAACTGCAACTGATTGGTCTGGGCGACGGTGGGCTATCGACCAGGAGGGGCAGTTCGACCGGGAAATCGATGGAGCAGTCCGTCGACCTGCAGTTCGACCGGGAGGTCAACGGAACAGTCCGTCGACCTGCAGGTGAGCAGCGGTCGACGAGGGGAGCTTGGCGACAACCGCTGATAGTTCTGGTCGACGGAAGGGGTCCGTCGACCAGGGGGTAGCTCGACGGGAGCTGTGGTCGACCAAGGGCACGTGGTGGGGTCCAGGTCAACCGGGTAACTTGCTCGAGGAGTTCCGCGGAGGCACGCGAACGTCGTCGAGGTCGCGGTGGTCAAGGCAACTTCGGGTTGGTATCCCGAAGTCGAGGTGGCTCGTCAGGCGCAGACAGCAGCCGACAGATGCACAACGATGCAAGTCGGGCCAATCGTCTGCGCGCACCTGCGAGCTTGCGCACTGCTGTCTTCTACGGAGCAACGATGGACAGCTATTTTGCTGCAGCGTTAGCACGTCGTTGACCAAGCTGCGCTGGCGGTCGATCAAGCTAACTGCAGAGTTTCTAGGGGCCTGATGTAGTCGTTGTTGTGATTCTTGTTCAATCATTCTGTAATTCCAACTTTGCCTAGTGAAACTCTTGCCGATTTCTCCCGTGTATGCGCAAGCACTAAGGAACTAAGTAAAGCTATGATCACTCCTAGTAGTTTGTGCCAAACCCTGTCAAACATTATATATGTTGTGTTAGTTTAGGCTACAGTGGGTTAGCCTATAGGGGGTACACAATTCTAGGGTTAGGTACTTGTACTCATTTCACTGCTAGTTCATCCATTCCTGTTCAGTGATTCCAACATGGTATAGAGCAGGTCCTTCCTAGGACCGAAATTTTCTAAGGGCCCACCACTACGTAACTACCTACCTACCTACCTACCTGTGCCCTAGGGCGCCTCGGCGTGTCACGCCCCTAGAGGCCCCTCTTGACGGCCCCGCGCTAGCCCCGTTCAGGCCCCGTCGGCCCCACGCCCGCTCTCCCTAGCGGCCCCGTTCAGGCCCCGTCGGCCCCTTTAAGGCCCCGTTCAGGCCCCGCGCTAGCCCCGTTCAGGCCCCGCGCTAGCCCCGTTCAGGCCCCGTCGGCCCCGTTTCAGGCCCCGTCGGCCCCGCGCTAGCCCCTCTCAGGCCCCGTCGGCCCGCGCTAGCCCCGTTTCAGGCCCCGTCGGCCCCGCGCTAGCCCCTCTCAGGCCCCGTCGGCCCGCGCTAGCCCCGTTTCAGGCCCCGTTGGCCCCCGTTTCAGGCCCCGTCGGCCCCGCGCTAGCCCCGTTCAGGCCCCGTCGGCCCCTTGCTAGCCCTGTCAAGGCCCCGTTTGGCCCCGCGCTAGCCCCGCTCAGGCCCCGATCGACCCCGCGCTCGCCCCTCTAGGGCCCCAACCGGCCCCGTGCCGACCTCGCTGACCCGTGCCCACCACCTAGAGGCCCCGGGCGGCCCGTTCCCGCCGCAGCACACGAGGGAGAGCGGGCGGCCCGTCCCCGCCGTGACCCGAGCCGCGCGACCCGAGCCGCGCGCCCCGAGCCGAGCCGCGCGCCCTGAACCGAGCCGCGCCACCTAGCCGAGCCGCGACCCGACCTGAACCGAGCCGCGCCGCCCTGCCCTACCTGGTTCGTCCTACCTGCTTCTCCTACTGCTACTGCTGCTATTTCTACTCTTCCTATGGCTAGCCCACAGGTTCTCGTGTTCGATGCTGAGGGCCGCCCTGTGAAGTTTGACACCTGGCTCGATGACCTGCACCTCTACCTACAGCTCACAGCCAAGGATGACATCTCACTGTACGATCACGCCCTAGGCCATGTCACTGCCCCTGCTGCTACTGCTGACAGCACTGCTCGCTCACAGTGGCAGACTCGTGATGCCCACGCTCGCTTCGCCATTCGCAACTCCCTGCCGATAGACGAACGCGAGCACTTTGGTCAGCACAAGACTGCACAGGCACTGTACACAGCTGTAGTTGCTCGCTACTCCTCACCTGCCTCTGCCGCACTAGGCCGTCTCTCCCTCCCCTACCTGTTTCCCGACCTGGCCTCCTTTCACACAGTCGCTGACCTCATCACGCACCTCCGTACTAGTGAGGCCCGCTTCCGTGCCGCCATGCCTGCTGAGTTCCTTGCCACGCACCCCCCTCCACTCTGGCTCACTCTCTACCACCTAGTCACCCGCCTCCCTGACACACTGCGTGCTGTCAGGGACCACTTCCTAGCTCGTTGCCCCACTGAGCTCACCATTGCCCTCCTCGAGAAGGAGCTACTTGCAGCTGAGACTAGCATAGTCGCTGTAGGTGCCTCTCGTGGCGACCCCCGTACCCCGTTCTTTGAGGGGTGTTCTCCTTCCCCCCTTCTTCCCTCTGTCGCCTCTGCTGCTGCTGTCAACCTTCTTGGTACTGAGAAGGTCGGCGCTGCGTCTGCCTCGAGCGGACGCCGCAGCGGCAAGGGAAAAGGGGGCAAGGGTGGTGGCGGTGACGGCGGGGGAGGCGGCGGTGGGGGCGGTGGAGGTAGTGGGGGTGGTGGCTCGGCTGGAGGGGCGAGTGGTAGCGGTGGGGGTGGTGGCGGCAGCGGTGGGGGAGGTGGCAGGAGTGGAGGCAGCGGTTGGGATGGCGGTGGACGAGGCGGCGGCAGGGGTTGGGGTGGTCGAGGAGGTGGCAGCGGTGGTGGTGGCCGTGGAGGCACTGGCGGTGGCCAGGGCCAGGAGCACACTCCCTCGCCCCAGGAGGTCCGTGAGTGGTACTCTCAGCACGGGGGTGGGGGTGGTCTTTGCTGCACGTACGTCATTCGCACTGGTGACCGCACTGGTCAGCAGTGTGGACGACCGCACGCCACACAGCGCTGCTTCTCTCATCTCGATGACGCTTGGCGTGTTCAGTTCCCTCAGGCCACTGAGCTGCCCCGCTGGCTTGATCTCCTGAAGAAGGGGATTGATATCTATGCTCTAGACTTTGATGCTATTCTATCTGCCATGTATGTGATGTCTACTAGTGGAGAGGGTGCTGAGTACTTGTGTGTGCCGCCCAACCCGGGCATTAGGGCCAGTGCGTCTGCCGCTCCAGGTACTCGCGTGTCGGCTACCCCAGGTGCTGGTGAGGCTGCTGCTCTAGGTGCTTGTGTTTCTCCCCCCCTTGGTACTGCGTCGACTGCCGCACTGCACACCTTCACACTGGACTCAGGTGCTTCTCGCTGCTTCTTTCGTGACCGCACTGCCCTTGAGCCGCTTGCTCGGCCAGTTGCTGTCTCCCTTGCTGACCCCTCTGGGGGTCCGGTCATTGCGACCTCTTCCACTGTCCTTCCCTGCCCTGCGGTCCCGTCGGGCACACTGTCAGGTCTCCACCTCCCCTCGTTCTCTACGAACTTGGTGGCAGGATGTGCACTCCAGGACGGGGGTGTTCACCAGTTCACCCCTGCCTACGAGCGCGTGACACACTGCACGTGTGCTCGTACGGGCCGTCACTTGGCTACCTTCACTCGGCAGCCGGGGTCGGACCAGTACACACTGACTACTGAGTCCCCTCAGGTTGCTGCGACTGCGTCCGCGTCCGCGTCAGGTCAGCTGTCCGCCCCCTGCTCGTGTCGCTCTTTGGCACACGAGACTGTCCTCTGGCACCACCGCCTTGGCCACCCGTCTGTGCAGCGGCTTCGTGCCATGCACTCCCGGTACCTTGTCTCTGGCCTGCCCAGGGTCCTTCCTCTCCTCCCACCCTCGCCTGCTCCTACCTGTCTCCCCTGTGTCGAGGGACGGCAGCGCGCCGCTCCTCACTCCTCCTCGTTCCCCCCGACGACTGCTCCCTTGCAGACACTCCACATGGACGTGTGGGGCCCAGCCCGCGTCCGTGGTCAGGGTCAGGAGAGGTACTTCCTCATAGTTGTTGACGACTACTCGCGCTACACCTCGGTCTTCCCCTTGCGCACCAAGGGTGAGGTCCCTGATGTCTTGATCCCTTGGATCCGCAGAGCCCGTCTCCAGCTCAGCGAGCGTTTTCACTCGGACTTTCCTGTCCTGCACTTGCACTCTGACAGAGGTGGTGAGTTCTCCTCCGACCTCTTGGCAGCCTACTGTGCTGAGCACGGCATTGAGCAGTCGTTCACGCTTCCGGCTTCTCCACAGCAGAATGGGGTTGCGGAGCGCCGCATTGGCCTGGTCATGGCGGTCGCCGGTACCTCCTTGATCCATGCGGCTGCCCCCCACTTTCTGTGGCCGTTTGCGGTCCGGTACGCTGCGCATCAGCTCAACCTCTGGCCCCGTGTCTCCTTGCCGGAGACCTCGCCCACGCTGCTGTGGACGGGGGAGGTTGGCGATGCGTCGCGTTTCCGGGTCTGGGGGTCTCGAGCTTTTGTCCGCGATTCGTCTGCGGACAAGCTCTCCTCCCATGCTGTTCCCTGCGTCTTCCTCGGCTTTGTCCCGGACGCGTCTGGTTGGCAGTTTTACCACGCCACCTCGCGCCGAGTCTTGCCCTCCCAGGACGTCACTTTTGACGAGTCCGTCCCCTACTACCGCCTCTTCCCCTACCGCACTGCCCCGCTCCCCCCCCCGCCTCTCTTCCTCGCGCCAGGTGCTGCTGTTGCAGACCCCCTCCCCCCTCAGGGTGCCGCTCCCTCAGGTGTGTCTCAGGTAGATCCGGTTGAGCCTGTTGAGGTAGCTGTCGACTCTCGTCCTGCTGGGGGTGCTGAGCCTGGGGGTGCTGAGCCTGGGGGTGTGGAGCCTGGGGGTGTGGAGCCTGGGGGTGTGGAGCCTGGGGGTGTGGAGCCTGGGGGTGTGGAGCTTGAGGGTGCTGAGCTTGGGGTTGTGGAGCCTCGTGGTGCTGAGCTGCGGAGTCCGGAGTCCTGCACCTGGAGGAGCCCTCTTCTCGGAGCAGCTGCGTGCATGGTACTTACTGGGACTGGTGCTAGTGCTTCCGGAGTACTGCAGCCTCCGGAGAGGTGCCGCTCGTGCCGGACGTACTACTGGGACTGGTGCTAGTGCTTCTTCTCCCGTTCGGGAGCTCCCCTCCCGCGAGCGGATCCGTGAGTGGTACGAGCGGCGCTGCACTCTTCGGAGTGGCGTGCCTCGTGTTACGGACCCCGCTGCTGTTGGAGCTGCTGCTGGTGCTGAGGACCCGGGCGTTGGAGCTGCTGCTGGTACTGAGGACCCGGGCGTTGGAGCTGCCGCTGGTGCTGAGGACCCGGGCGTTGGAGCTGCTGCTGGTGCTGAGGACCCGGGCGTTGGAGCCGCTGCTGGTGCTGAGGACCTGGGTGTTGGAGCTGCTGCTGGTGTTGAGGACCCAGACGTTGGAGCTGCCGCTGGTGCTGCGGACCCGGGCGTTGGAGCTGCTACTGGTGCTGAGGACCCGGGCATTGGAGCTGCCGCTGGTGCTGAGGACGTGGGCGCTGGAGCTGCTGCTGGTGCTGCGGATCCTGGTGCGGGTGTCCCTGCTGGCTCTGGTGTCGCTGCTTGGTCTCGGCCGTACTTTGCTCCGCTCCTTCAGCAGGTTCTTGGTCAGCTTCCTCCTCCTTTTCCTCCTCCCTCCTTAGCGTGTCCTCCGCCTGTCCAGCTGCAGTCGGCGTTACCGTCTGCCTCCTTTCTCCCTGGTCCTGCTCCTTACACTGGTCCGACTGGAGGTCTTACTGAGCGGCGTGAGCCTGCGTCTCGTCCTGCGACGCCTGAGTCTCGTCCTGAGTTGCCTGACCGCACTGCTCTTTCTAGTAGTCGAGTCCAGCGTCAGCGTCTTCCTGCTGTCCCAGGCACTCACCGGATGGCGCTTCGTTCGTCCACTGCTCCACAGCGTGTCCCACTGCCGTCTCCTCCTGCTTCCTCTCTTCCTGCTCTTGCTGACCTTGGGTCAGACTCTCTTCGTGCTACCAGTCCTACTGTCACGCGTCTCCTGGCTACTGTTGTCACTGACCCTTCCTTTGAGTCTGCTGCTGCGTCTGCCTTAGTTGCTGAGCTTGTCGACTTTGCTGCTCGCTGTCGTCTAGACTACGCTGCTAGCCTAGTTGCTGAGTCTGAGTCTGTCTGTCCTCCGTCCGTCGGGGGTGAGTGTGCTCTTGGCACTGACGTCCTTGAGGACAGGCAGGAGGAGTTTGAGTGCTTTGCTGCCGCTTTGCCCCATCTCGTGTCCATGCTTGTTGCCCCTGAGGGAGACCCGGATGCACCAGACATCCCGACCCCACGCTCTTACGCAGAGGCGATGGCCGGTCCCTACTCCTCTCAGTGGCAGTCAGCCATGGACACAGAGATGGCTTCCTGGAAGTCCACAGGCACCTACGTCGACGAGGTTCCCCCACCTGGGGCGAACATCGTCAGTGGCATGTGGATTTTCAGGGTGAAGCGGCCGCCGGGCTCTCCGCCTGTCTTCAAGGCGCGTTACGTTGCACGAGGCTTCATTCAGCGAGAGGGAGTTGACTTCTTCCAGACCTTCTCCCCGACCCCGAAGATGACCACTCTTCGGATTCTGCTGCACGTCGCCGCTCAGCGTGACTACGAGCTCCACTCGCTTGACTTCAGCACTGCTTTCCTACAGGGCAGCCTGCACGAGGAGATCTGGCTGCACCGTCCACCTGGCTTCACTGGGTCTTTCCCTCCTGGTACCCAGTGGAGCCTCCGACGGCCAGTCTACGGTCTCCGCCAGGCGCCTCGTGAGTGGCACGACACACTGAGGACTACGCTTGCGGCTCTTGGGTTCGCGCCTTCTACTGCTGACCCGCCGCTGTTTCTACGCACCGACACCTCACTGCCGCCGTTCTACGTCCTTGTGTACGTCGACGACTTGGTCTTTGCTACTGCTGACACTGTGGCACTCACCCACGTGAAGTCGGAGCTGCAGAAGAGACACACGTGCACAGACCTGGGTGAACTGACAAGCTATCTTTGCTTGCGGATCACCCGGGACAGAGCACGCCGCACCATCACCTTGACTCAGTCACACATGGTGCAGCAGGTCCTTCAGCGCTTCCGCTTCACGTACTCCTCGCCTCAGCCCACTCCTCTGCCTACCGGTCACTCGCTCTCAGCTCTGCCTTCGGATGAGTCCGTAGAGCCGAGTGGCCCGTATCCAGAGCTTGTGGGTTGCCTCATGTACCTGATGACCTGCACTCGACCAGACCTTGCATACCCTCTTAGCATTCTTACACGCTATGTCGCTCCCGGCCGTCACCGGAAGGAGCACATGGATGCAGCTAAGAGGGTGTTGCGCTACTTGTGCTGTACGTCGGGCATGGGGCTAGTGCTTGGAGGGCGAGTCCCAGTTGTTCTCACTGGGCACTCAGACGCTTCTTGGGCAGACGACCAGGCTACTCAGCGGTCGTCTCAGGGTTACTCCTTCAGTCTTGGCTCTGGTTCTGTTTCTTGGCGTTCTACTCGCTCTTCTTCTGTTCTCAGCTCCAGTTGTGAGGCTGAGATCTACGCCACAGCCATGGCGGCCCAGGAGCTACGCTGGCTCACCTACTTGCTGACCGACCTTGGAGAGCAGCCTCGTTTTCCTCCAGTGCTGTACGTCGACAACAAGGCAGCCATTGCCTTGTGTGAGGAGCACAGACTGGAGCACAGAACGAAGCACATTGCTCTACGTTACTTCCTTGCTCGAGAGCTGCAGCAGCGTGGTCAGCTTCGCCTGCGTTACGTGGCCTCTGAGGCCAACACTGCTGATGTGTTCACCAAGGCGCTTCAGCCTTGTGACCATCAGCGCTTTTGCACTCTTCTAGGCCTTGTGCCTACTGGACCTCACTTGCTTACTTCTTGAGTCTGTTTGTACTGTGATCTCTATATATATATCTGCATGTTTACTCTTGTTAGGTTGTGATCATTGTACCTTTTGGTCTATTATAAACCTGCATGTGAACTGGTCTTGTGACCACTTGCTTGTGCTCGGAATTTGTGTGGTATCCTTGAGATCCACCCTGAGCTTGTTTTGCCTTGCTTTGCCTTGACTGGTCTTGTGACCCCTAGTTCTCCCCCACTTTGCCTATGGGGGCGTGTCAAACATTATATATGTTGTGTTAGTTTAGGCTACAGTGGGTTAGCCTATAGGGGGTACATAATTCTAGGGTTAGGTACTTGTACTCATTTCACTGCTAGTTCATCCATTCCTGTTCAGTGATTCCAACAAACCCCGTAGTCTATCTCACTACCGTTATAAAGTGTTGCTTTGCATGGTGCGGTGAGCGTGGATCGAACACGCGACCTTCAGATTGGAGCCGACTTTTGCACCTACTAAGCCGTTCGTATGCCGGCGGCAGCGTTAATCGCTATGGTCGGCCTCGTTGCTTTTGCAGGCGTAGCGGACACCTTGGAGGCACGTTTGGCTGATGCAAGGAAACGCCATGAGGATGGCAAGTACGGGTCGATCCCTTGGGGGATCGTCGAGTTGGGCATCCGGTCGAAGTGGGCGACGGAACACCTTTCCCGTCCTGCATCTCTTCGACCGGCGCGAAACGAAGGTGGCATCGACGTCGGTGCACGAGTCAACGGCAGCGAAGGCACGAAGCAGAGAGGGGTGATCAAGGTCGACGGTGGCGTTGACAGGAATCCGGTGCGAGTGCAGCGGTCGGCGGTGGCTGCTGGCAACTCGCGTGTCGACGTCGATGTTCGACGTCGATCTCCTCTACGAAGCAATGAAGGGCTCTCCGCAACAGCGCATGTGACAGCGGGCGGGATTGCACCGGCGTATGGCAACTTCAAGTTCTCGCCGGACTAGATCACCGTCGCACCGCTGCAAGGTCAAGGAGACCTCATCACCTGGAGGGAGTCGATAGAACCTCAGCTGGAGGTTGCCGGGCTAAAAGACTTCGCTGACGGCACCGTGACAATTCTGTTCGTGGATGATGTCGAGCTGCGCAAGGAGTTCCGTGCGGCTCACTTACTCACCTTCATGGTCATCTCAAGGTGCTGCTCGCCGGTGGTGCAGCTAGCGCTCAGGAGCTGTCGAGAGCGACTGGATGCTGGTCACCAGGCATGGTACTTCATATTGTCGACCTGTACATCGGGCAGCTGGAGGAGAAGATGACTCACATTCGGATGGGCGAGCAGGAGTCGGCATCGGATTACTGCAACCGTGCTCGACGAGTCCTGGCTGAGATGCGGATGGCGGGCGCCGAGTACTCGACAGCGTCCTACATCACCCACATTGTCTAGGGCCTGCCACGTAGCTACAATCGCATGAAGAGGATGATGATGGCGCCCGGCACGCGTGAGTCCCTCGACGAGGACTCCATCACCAGCTACATCCTTCAAGATGAGGCGATGCAGGAGGTTGAACAGCCAATAGAGCTCCTTCCGCAGGCAAACTACGCTGCATCGACGAAGCCGAATCAGCAGCAAGGGTAGTGCGGGAAGCCAGGCGGAGGTGGTAGTGGAGGTGGGCGGTCGACGAAGGACGTCGACGGGAAGAGGTCGACGCGGAACAAGGGTCGACGAGGTGGTGGTCGACGGCGGGAGTGCTGGATTTGCGACAACCCCGACCATCTCTCCTTCAAGTGCCCCGACCGCGATGACAGCGACGAGGACGACAGCAAGGGAGGACACGGACGGTCGACTAGTCGTCGTCCCCGTCGAGATGCGAAGCAGCGCAAGGAGAAGCAGACGTCGAAGAAGACGTCGTCGACAGAGGATGTCGACAACTCCAGCGACAAGGGCCGAGGCGACGGGGAGGCGTCGTGCTCGATGGTCGGCCTGGTGGTGCCGACGGTCTTGCTAGCACCGGAGGCTGGCGAAGACTTCCAAGCGGTGGCGGCAGCTGTGGAGGCCAACCCGATGGCGGTGCTGCTTGATAGGGCGTGCTCCCACCACCTGATGGGGTCGAAGTCGGTCTTCGTCGATATGGTGCCGACCAACGGAGTGAAGCACGTGCGTGGATTCAACGGGGCGCTGCAGCATGTCGAGGGTCGCGGAACCATCGCCCTACAAGGGGAGGCCTGGAAGCGGGTTCTCATCCCCAACGTGCTCTACGTTCCTTGCGTACAGGCGAAGCTGCTGCCTGCTGGCCAGCTGAAGGAGAGCGGAGTGCAGCTGCAGGGCGACGGCGACAAGATGCTGCTCGTCGCTACGATCGGGGAGGAGCTCGGTCGAGCACGCTACACCGGACGTGTCCTCTGCACCGAACTTCGCCCTTGCTCGACGCGGTCGCTGTCGACCGAGGTGGTGGCTTTGCGGACGATCGTCTCGGTGTCAAAGTCGACCCCTAACCGGCAAGCATGAATTTTCTACCAGGCTCGACATCACACCGTCGACCTGAGCAGACCCGCCGTGTGTCTCGTGCGTCGGAGGAAAGCTGGCGCGACACATTTTCCCCGATAAGGGCTCGGATGCCGAGGAGGCGCTGGCTGTCTTGCACTTTGACTTGTGCGAGCCATTTCGAGTGGCTGCCAAGGATGGCAGCTTGTACTTTCTACTGCTGAAGGATCGCCACACTCGGTTTGTGTGGGCAATGCCGATCGCTAAGAAGAGCGACGTGCTGCGGGAGTTCCAATAGTGGGTGGTGCTGTTCAAGCGGTAGACGAAGAAGCCGGTGCTGATGCTCCGCTCAGACCGAGGAGGGGAGTTCCTTGGGAAGGCGTTCACCAACTTCATCAACAGGAAGGCCACCGTTCATGACCTGACATGCCCCTACACTCTACAGCAGAATGGCATGGCAGAGCGGGAGATGCGCACGGTCGTCGAGTCCGTGCAGACGATGCTGCTGCACATGGGTGTGCAGCACCACTGGTGGCACCTCACTCTACGCCAAGCTGTCTGGGTGCGCAACTGCTTGGAGTGGTCGACACTGCCGCCGCGGACGACGCCGTACCAGCTGCTGACTGGGAAGAAGCCCGACCTCACGCTGGCACGGGTATGGGGACTGCACGGTGCAGTTCATGGTTCCTGAGCAGCAGCGCGGTGGGAAGCTGGCGCCGAAGGCTCGCTGGAGGCTTCACATGGGTGTGTCGCTGGAGAGAAAGGGACGGGAGGTGCTCGACCTGACCGACAACAAGGTAGTCACGTTGATCGAGGTGATCTTCTACGAGACGCTGTCGCTGGAGGTATGGAGGGCGAAGTCTGGGCCGGCGTCGGGGCGGACGCAGGCACACCCGCCGACGGACACCTTGACGGTGACAGTTTTACTGCTCGCCAAAGTCGACGAGTCTGCTGATGAGGATGTAGTAGAGGTTCTTCCACCCCCCCTTGTTCTTGCTCCTCCCTCCTCCGTCATAGATCGGCCTGCCTCGATACCTAGGTCGGCCGTTGGCGATGAGAGGAGCCTTGAGGCGTCGCCTGTGGCGCCGGCGAGTGGCATCGTCGGCGGTCAACAAGGCACCAACCTCGTCGACCTGGATGGAAAGCCGTCGACGATAAGGGAGCATTAGACAAGGGAGCTGGTCGAACAGGAGGCAACAGCAGGGGTGCAGTCGACAGGGGAGCAGCGGCCGGGGCGCCGTACAGAGGAGCTGTCGAAGTCAGAAGGAGGTGAGCAACCGGTCGAAGGGTCCAAGCACCTGGTTGACAACGTGGACGTGGACAAGGAAGGGGAGCAGTCGGCGGGTGAGGAGTCCACTGACACCGACGTGGTGGAGGTGCCGATCACGAGGCCTGAGCTGCGACGCACAGGTTGAGCTCGACGGCCGCCGGGGCGGCTGAGCTTCAATGCCATTGCTGAGCGGCGAGCTGGAAGGGCGAGGCGGTGAAGGCCGCCATGGAAGAAGAGATCCGCAGCCTCATCGGCTTGGGCACTTGGGAGCTGGTCGAACGCTCACGCGGGATGAACATCATGAAGAATCAGTAGGTGCTGACGACCAAGTACCGCATCGACGACACTGTCGAGCACGAGAAGGCGAGGCTGGTCGTGAAGGAATTCACGTAGATGTACGGCGCCGACTACGACAAGACGTACTTGGCGGTGAGCCGCTACGTCACGCTGGGGATCTTCCTCAGCATCGTTGGCGTCCTCGACCTCAACCTAATGCAGCTCGACATGAAGAACGCTTTCCTACAAAGCAAGCTCAACAGGGTGTTCTACCTGTACCAGCCGGACTACTTCGACGATGAGACCGGCCGGGTGTGTAAGCTGCTGAAGAGCCTCTACGAGCTGAAGAAGTCGCCGCTGCTGTGGTATAGGGCTCTCGACAGTGTGTTACTGGGCGCTGGCTGGAAGAAGAGCCAGGTCGACGAGGCGCTCTACTTGAAAGCCGGCGACAACGGAGTGACCTGCTGGGTGCTGGTTTACGTCGTCGACATGCTCGCCGCTGGCAGCAGCACCGCGATGCTGAAGGAGCTGAAGGAGCTACTGGAGGCCGCCTACAAGCTGCGTGAGATCTCGCCGGTAGTGAAGTACCTTGGGCTAGAGATCGTGCGCGACAAGCCGGCAAGGAAGCTGTGGCTGCACGAGCAGGGCTACGTCGACAATACGCAGGCGCTTCATCGACAAGGAGCAAGGCGGGCGCCGAAGACGCCGGTCTTGGTCGACATCTACGCAGAGCTGACGTTCGACGATGAGGAGGCGCAGGAGCACGAGGAGGAGGAGGAGTACCAGCAGAAAGTTGGCTCACTGCAGTTTGCAGAGACGACGACGAGGCCTCGCCCGCTACCTCGCCTCCCTTGCCGACACACGCGACACTGCTTTGGAGTTTGGCGGTGGACCATAGTCATAGGAGCTGATCGGCTACGTGGACGTTGACGACGCGGGCAACAAGCAGAACCGGGCGAGCACGGCCGGCTACGTGTTCGTCTTCAGAGGGGCCGCAGTTTCTTGGTCGAGCCAGCGCATCAAGT